GAGGAGGCACCAGAAAAGAACCAGCTCCAGTCTCAGCCATGGCTGATGTGCTTCCTCCTGTTTGCAGCTAAATCACACTTGTCACTTGCTGAGGTACAAGCCAGGAGTTTGCTGCCATGTCTTCAGATTAGACACAAACCAACGCAGACCTGCGGAGGGTTTTTAATCCAAACATGATTTTTGGGATTTCCCTGCTCTGCAAATGTAGACTCTTGGCTAAAAGAAGATATGAGATGTTGCCTCTTGACAGTTCTTCGCTGCTGCTTTGCTTAAATTGTGCCCGGAGGCGACTGCAGAGGTTTGCACAATCCAAGGGGAGGTTCTTTGGGAAGAGTCAGTGTTTGGCAGAGCCCACAGCTCTCCACAGCCTGTGCTCCTGTGGGTTATTTTTGCCTTTTAGCTGCATCAAGTCCCCTGTCATGTCCTGCTTCTGCCATTGATCAGTGCTAAACAGCAGGACGTGCTGGCTGGGCAGAAAGGCAGCTCTACCCACTCATTAAGAGATCTAATTACTGAGGGGAGAGGTGTTGCTGTGCTTTGAGCACTGAGATGTTAGACAAATGCTTGGGGATGTCACTCTGATGGCAGTTCTTATGTAGATAAGTCACTTCTGGCTGTCACCCTGCTCTGTGGTGTGCTGGGGTGGAGTTAATGGGCACACAGCATCCCTAGGCCTGCTCAGAGCTGCCTTGCACACTAAATACATTTGTGCTTTGCTCCTGCCTAAATCTGTGATTGAGGCTGGCTTTGGCAGGCCTGGACTGGGGGCTGTTTAGTTGGCAGAGTTGCTGTGGCTGTGTTGTTGGTGTTCTGTGTAGCAGGGCTTACCTGGCTGTGTTCCCTGATAACCTCCAGCTGTTATCAGAGCCCTCCCCATCAGCACAAGCCACGGTGGATGACAAGCCAGGAATGCTTATCAAGGGCCATTGTGCTCTTATCCAGCCCTTCAATAATACATGGCATTGATTTTTGCTGTGGTGAATACTGTATAGTGTTTACATTCCCCAGAATAATTCAGCAGGGTAAACAGCTGAATTCTTTGGAGGTAAAGTCAATATTAACAGCATTCAGGAGAGCACTGGCTCTCTCTCTTTGATGGAAAGCAGCCTTTTCTCTTGCCTGTGCTTCCAAGGGGCTGTGATTTCTGCAGAGCAGTGCTCCCTCAGAATGCCAGTGAGATTCTGTGGCCCCTGGGGCTGGGCTGGGGATGCAGGATATTGCCTATCAGCACTTTTTGCAGGCAATAAATTCTGCTGCTGCAAGTGCCTTGGGCTGTTTTCTGGGACTGTGGCCATTCACAGCTTCAGTTCAAAGGTGGAAGCCATCCATTATTTATCTAGCTGACCTTCTGGAGCAATTTGAGGTGTATTTGTGCAGAGGATCTGCTGGAATTGCATGTTACAGGGTAAACTGAGGATGCTAATGGAAATTCTGTGGTGAAGGCTGCAAACAGCTCTTGTGGCACGCTGCTTCCCACTGGCTTTGTGGCAAGTGGAGGAGCACTGTGGGCTCACATAGCCTCTGACATAAGTGCACACCTCCAGGCTGCAGGCATGGCAGTGTGAGCACTGAAATCAGCCCATCCTCAGGCTCTGAGCTGCACCTGCAACTTCAGAGGGTTTGTGCTGCTGCTGTTTGGTCCTGCAGGTGCTGCTTTGAGTAACAGCAGCTCAGGAGGTTGTTCTGTGGTGGAGCATGGAGCAGGAAGGTCCTTCATGCCTCCTTTGGGGGATGTCACTGGTACCATGGGGTACCGAAAACTTCCTCTTTTTTCCTTCCTGGAGAGGCTGAGATCTGCCAGAGTGCTTCTCTCATCCAGAGCCTCTCTCTCTCATGGTTTTTGGTGTTTTCTAGCACCTCATTAAACAAAGAAAAAACACACAGGATGAAACAGTTCCTGCTTAAATAGACCCTGACATCATCATAAATATGCAGAGCTCTGTATTGCTCCTGGAAAAGCGGCAGGCCAGGAGCTGATGGAGCCTCTGGGCAGAATATGAATGCCTTGATTTTCTCTCCCCCTGAGCAGCAGTGGAGAGGGCTGCTAGGACCAGCCAGCAGAGACCCAGCTATAATTGCTTGCCTGGAGCAGTAACATATTTCTGCACACCAGCTGAATACCAATGAGGACAGAGGGAAGGAAGGTATCAAACAGAACTGCAGGCAGGAGGAAAAGGAGGATAAGTGATTAAAGGAAGGACTTAGAGGCCAAGATTGAAGACAATGGGCTAGTTCTGATTAGGGCATTTTACCAGGGAGTGATTTGGGTTTTTAATGAATTTTTTTTTCAGGAACTGAATGCATTGCAGAACTGGTTGGTGAGCAGGAGCAAGGGGCCAAGCAGTGTGACCCCAGGTGCCACTGAAAAGGCTGCTGCAAAGACAGAGGCAGGGAGAGGAGAACTGAGCCCAGGATAACTTAACTGAAAGCAAGAACATACTTTTGAGATTGATGAGATTAGATTTCTCACTTGGGCCTTTTCCTTCCCAGTTCTCCTCTCTGTAATTGCTCACAAGAGTCTGTGCCACATGCTCTGGGATGACCCTGCTTGAGCAGACAGGTTGGACCAGGTGACCCACTGTCCCAGCCCGAGCCATTCTGGGATTTAGGTTTAAGCAGCGAGAACCTTTGAAATCACCTTCCTCTGTAACTGCCAGCTTAGGATAGAGTTTTCCTCACCCCTTGTGTGCTTGGGGATGAGAATCAGGGGGCAGAGTGGCCCCTCCATGACCACAGAGCTCCAAAAGAGCTGCCCAGCAGTGCTTCCCTGCTCTTCTGCCTGCTCCTCAGGATGGTCCTGGCTGCACTGCCTTCTCCATGGCTGCTCCATGGAGTGGAATAAGGCTCAGTTTATTTGAATTCTGTCATTAAGAGGAAAAAAAAAACAAACCAGAAAAGAGCCCAACGCAAAGCAGCATGATGTAACTTCCAAGCCTAAGGTGAGAGGAAGCACTGCAGCATCACAGGGTGTTTTGGAGCATTTTAGGTGCTTTGAAAGCACATTCAACCCATGAACTGCCTCTGAATGATCCTTTAGGGTCTGGTAATGGGAACTAAACATAGAGATCTAATGAGCTAAAAATAAGGCTGGAAAGAACAGGCTTAGTGTCTCATGAGTCACCGAATGTCAGCATCTGCCTTTTCTTCCTGAAATAATGTTGTGGAGGCTTTGGAGGAGCTATGGGGGGGGGGGGGGGGGAAGGAATGGAACCTGGCAGTGCAGCCCTCATTGCTAAGCTCCAAAATCCTCACCTGTGTCCCTTTCTGTGGGCAGCTGCACGTTAAAAATAGTCTGGGAGAGGCTGTTTCCAGGCAGCAGCAACAGCAGCAGCGTGTGAGGTACCTGGGCATCCGTGAGCGCTGCTCCTGGGTGACGTCAGCGCTCTGCAGGGACAGGAATGTGATGCTGGACCCGTGTCTTGGCCAAGCTGAGCATGTGGGGAGTGCTGAGAGGTTTCCAGCCTTGCCCCAAAGCTGCTCAGAGCTGGGAGCTGCAGCCATGCCGTGCCCTTTTCCTGTGCAAAACAACGGGCTTTGCTGCATGAGTGGTGTTCAGAGGTTTGCCTTAGGGGGGTGTTTTGAGAGGGGAAGGTTCAGAGGTTTGCCTTAGGGGGGTGTTTTGAGAGGGGAAGGAGCGTGTGGGTTTGACCTATATCCTGCACATCATGTCCAGGAAGCCTGAAAGGCGTAATGGGAGGAATGTACTCTCATTTTCACCTCCATTAATTTTATCGGATCGCCGCTTTACATCTAATCGTAATTGCTGGAAATACAGAGGGAAAATCGTCCTGTTGCTCCCTGGCTGATCAGCTGCGGGGATTCTGTTGTTTTAAAGCCACATAAATAGAAAAAGGTGCTGTTGTTTAGTGTGATGTTGGGCTTGGGCTGAAAACATCTCTTTTTTGTACTGGAAATGTTGTTTGCTTTGTTAGAGGGAATCGGTGAATGAGCAACTGCTGAGGCTGCACAGAAAGGAGAGATTCCTGCAAGCAGCCAGGTGCAAAATGTCTCAGCCTTCTGAAGCATCATAATGGGGTTTATTTGCATGAATTTTTGGAGCCAGCTTTCCAAAAGCAAACAGAAATACCAGCTCTGTTTGGTTTTCCCCAGGCAGCTGATGTAGGGAATTGTAGCCAAATTGAGAGCAACGTAACCTTTCCAGGGGGGAGTGAGAAACAAGGTTGAAGAAATTATCCCCAGCTGAGCAGATGGTGGGCCCACAGTCTCCTGTTTCCAAAGAGGAGCTCTGTATGGGTATTTAAAACTCCATGCAGAGCCTGCTTTAGGATTTGTACATTTTAATGTACTGCAGCCTTTTCCCTCGCCACCACAAGCTCTGAAATGGCTGGGGGTAATTCCTGTACTGCTCATGCTCTTCAGGCTTCTAGTGGAGAGAAAATGGGGGAATTACCAACTGATTCACTGTTGTTGATGTTAATACAAACTCAAATATTTTCTTACCAAACCCTCCTCGCTGGGCTCTGCGTCAGTGCTGTGTCCTTTGTAAGAGCCCGTGTCCTTTGTGAAATGTGGCCCTCAGCTTCCACCTGCTGTTCAGAGCCAGAACGGCAGCTCTGCCATGAATCCAGGAAAATAAAAACCATGGAATATCCTGAGTTGGATCCTCGAGCCCAGCTGCTGGCCCTGCATAGGACCATCCCCAGGAATCCCACCATGTGCCTCGGGGTGTTCCCCAAATGCTTCCTGAACTCAGGCAGGCTTGGGACTGTGACCACTTCCCTGGGAGCCTGTTCCAAATATTAATGTAAATTTCAATCCCAGGTGCTGAAAGGTGAATGAGATGAAAGTGGAATTTGAATAACAATAAAAAGCAGGTACTGCTAAGGGTGTTGGTTTGGCTCAGAATTGTATTTGATGTATTTTGCCAGAACTTGGCTAGAAGAGGTGATTTCCACTGTTCAAATGAGGCAGTTTGTAGCTGTTTTAAGAAGGAATGTGCTCTCAGTTCTACACAAGTGTGTTGTTCTTCTCTTTTCCAGCTAAAAACCACAGTGACACCCAAGTGTTCTTCTACCTGTGGATTATCTTCTGTTTCATCAGCTCTTGCTATACCCTCATTTGGGACCTGAAGATGGACTGGGGTCTCTTTGACAAAAATGCTGGTGAAAATACCTTTCTCCGAGAAGGAATTGTCTACCCACAGAAAGTGCGTATGCAGCCTGCTCTTACCTTAGGACAGCCTTGTAACACTTTAACCAAACTTGCTGAGTTTAGAGCATGTTGCAGTTACCCACTGGAGCATTTCAATGCTACAGCCTGGGATTTTCCAGCAGTAGAGCTGATTTGTTTCCAAGAGGTCATTTCTCGTTGAAATGATCAACAAATTAAATTTGTTTCTGAGAGATCATTGCCCTTATTTTGTCTGAGTGTGAGCAGCAGATTCTGTAGCTTCCCAAAGGCCTGATGAGGTCTTTTGGATGCAGAAGGTGTTTGCTGAGCTGTTGTGTTCTTGTTGCTCCTCAGGCGTACTACTATTGTGCCATTGTAGAAGATGTCATCCTGCGTTTTGCGTGGACCATCCAGATCTCCCTCACTTCCATGCAAATCTTTCCCTACGCTGCAGACATCATTTCTACTGTGTTTGCCCCACTTGAGGTGTTCCGGTAAGGCTGCTGGGCTGAGCAGCTCATTTCTCTTGGTTTTATTTTCACTTTTTTGTTCTGTAACATCAGCATTGGGAGGGAAGCACCTGGATCCTTGGTTGTGGAATATACTGGGTTTTGTTTCAAGGAGACCAGGATTAGCAGGAATATTTAATCCAAACAGGGTGCTGAGTGAAGAAAAGGGTAGGGGGCTCTGCCACAGTGTGGAGCTGAATCCTTCACATTGTGTTTGCAGTTCCTTCTGAGCCATGACATAATCTTGAGGGGTTAGTTTTTACCAAATTTCTTGAAATTTCCAACTAAAACTTCTCTTGAGTCTCAAGTTTCCAATTTTCAAACCTCTTTGTATTCTGTGTCATTGATTTGGATGCTGCAAGCTTCCAGGAGTTTTAAACACCTTTCCTGTAGCTGGAAATCCACCCCCACAGCTTCCTGGGAAGAACTTGATGCTGACCCTCTCTCATGTAGGTGCTGGAGGTGGCCTTTTGTAGGAATGTGCCCCCTGTTGAGAGAGTGACAAGACTATCCTTTGTCCTCTCAAAAAGGAAAGAAGCCCAGAAGTTTCTCTCCTTGATTACATGAAAAAGACACCTCAGAGGCCTGGGGGACTTCACCTCAAACTTAAGGATGGCCAATTGGACAGGAGCCAAAAAGTCCCACTTGAGCAATTTACTAGAAAAAGAAGTGAACAAAGAAACTAATTGCTTTTGTGGGGTGTTTTACCAGGAGCAAGAACCTCTGGCACCTGGCTTGGTTTTTCTCTGTTTGTTATTTTACCTTTTATTAAACCTTTTTGTTTCCAACACTGCAACAGAAGCCATCCTGCTGATTTTTATGCCTCCAAGGGTAGCTGAGCTATCTTGGGTGTGTTATAGACCACCAAAGGCTTATGAGACCTGGCTGGAAGAAGCTCCTATAACAGCATTCGCCTTGTAATGCTTGAACAATGCATGCTGTCCAAATTAGGATAGGGAATAAGCCTGACAGGTTCTGTTCTCCAGAGGAAAGATGTTGCTGTTAGCCACTGGATTTTTCTCCAGTGCTTTGCCAAACGCGGGAAACACCTGCAAAAGTGGAACTCAGTTGGTAATTCTCATTTTTTCCTCTCCATCCATCCATCCATCCATCCATCCATCCATCCATCCCCGCAGGCGGTTTGTGTGGAACTTCTTCCGCCTGGAGAACGAGCACCTGAACAACTGCGGGGAGTTCCGTGCCGTGAGGGACATCTCGGTGGCGCCACTCAACGCCGACGACCTGACGCTCCTGGACCAGATGATGGACCAGGAGGACGGCGTGCGCAACCGCCGCAAGAGCAAGCAGTGGAAGCGCAGCCTGAGCGTGTCCCTGCGCCGGCCGCGCCTCGGCACACAGTACGTTCAGCCGTGCTCCAAATAACAACCTCTGCTGTTTGCACATCTGTTCTGTCCCCCCTGCGCTCTGAGTGTGCACAGTGCTCAGTGGAGATTGCAGTTGTGCTTCCGTCCTGTTAAAGGCAAAACCTTTTCCATTACCTCAAACTCTTCCCTTAGGATTCAGAAGCTGTCAGAATCATGTTTTTGCATTATTTAGAGACAACTTTATGCATGCCAGTAAGGTAATTTTTCCCATAACTGGTGTTGTTCCTACTGCTACATTTTTATGTAAGATATGATAATATTGTAGTACACATTTCTCATTCAATTATTTTTTTTTCCTCTTAGATTTCTACACCTTTTATTGAATAGAGATTTATTAGACTCAGTTAAATCAACCTTACTTGAGTCATCTAGCTTTATGACCTTTACTTGCTAGAAAATTATATATTTTATCATAATTCTGGATATTCTACACTGCTCTTTAAATGGATATCTAAATTTATATTTAGATTAACTGATAAAAAGGAAAGAAAAAGCTTAAAAGAAAGTAATAGAACTGCTACAGAAGCCTGCCCTGCAGCTGCTGCTGGTGCCTGCTGGTTGTTTATGGGCTGGGAGTCCTGCACTGAGAATGGCACAAAGGGTTCCAAGTCGTGCAAAGATTTTCAAAGTCACGCAAAGATTTTCAAAGTCATCAAAGGTAGGGCAGGTCCAACTAAGTGAATGAGCATTCCTCCCTCTGCCAGAGAATTAATCCATCCTTTAGGCATTTGGGGTTTACCAGAACCCCAAGTGGAAAGGAAAGGGAAACTCCTGAAATCAGGAAAGGGAGTTCCCGTTTTACTCACCCTTTTTACAAGGGTCCCCTCCTGCAGAAATAGGCTGCCAGAGGTTATAAATGCAAACTGGAGGAGAGGTTCTCCTCAAGCAGACATTTCTGAGAAAGAGGGAGAGGGGCTCTTTATACCTCATGGTGACAGAAGGGCCAATGGTTTTAAACTGACAGAGGGCAGAGTTAGATTAGATATTAAGAAGAAATTCTTCTCTGTGAGGGTGGTGAGGCCCTGGCACAGGGTGCCCAGAGAAGCTGTGGATGCCCCTGGATCCCTGGAAGTGTTCAAGGCCAGGCTGGATTTGGCCCTGAGCAATATGGATGTCACTCACATCCCTGCCTCTGGCAGGGGGGTTGGAACCAGATGATCTTTAAGGTCCTTTCCAGCCCAAACCATTCCACGTCTCTGTATGATTCCAGTTATTCTTTGGTTAAGGTTCATATGTAAGATCTCAGACTCCTTCCTCTCTCAAATGCAAACCCTTACATTTTTTTTCTTCCCAGCCATCATCCTTGCACCCCAAATGTTGCCCCACCCTGCACCCCAGCCCCTGAACCTGCCCACTGTGTGTTTTCCCTGCAGTTCCAGTGTCCCGTGTCCCTCGTGCCCTGGCAGCACAGTTGTGCCGCCCTACCCTTTGGCCAGGGAGCAAGCCGAGGCTGAGGCACAGCAGGTCAGGAGTGTTGTGCAATCCCTGCAGCACTGCCTGGGAGGGGTGGGAGAAGGAGGAGGAGGAGGAGGAGGGTGTGCTCTGGCCCCAGGGCTGGGCTTGGCTCTTGTCCCTGCCGGATGGCACCAATACCAACAGCCTCGAGGTGGCTGCTAGAGACTGAAAAATGTTATGCAAAGGGAATGTGAGCCAAAGGCTGCTAGAGTTCCCTCCAGCCATGCCCATTTATCCCTCAGACATGCAGTGATGGAGATGTGCCAGGCATATCCCTAAAGGACTTCCTGCTCCTTCCTGCAGCCCAGCAGGAGATGGAGCAGGAATGCTCCTGTGGATCCTGCAAGGGTTTGGTGGGGTTCTGTGGGGAGGGCTGAGCAGGTGCCCCACATGTCACAGCCTGGCAGGTGACACTGGCCATGGGCAGAGTGGGCAGTGCCACAGGAGGGGGATGCTGAGGGACAGCTGGGGATCTTTACAAGGCTCTGCAATTCCCAGGGAGAGTGGGAGGGTGTGAAACAGTAGATTGTTTGTTCCCCCTCTGCATAAGAAAGACATATTTTCCCTTTTTTTATTCCCCCAAGTGGACTGTGGGTTTGCTGTCTGCACGTCATTCCAGGAATTCCTTCTCCCCAGTGAGTGTTTTGTGTTTTTTTCTTTTCCAGGTCGAAGGCTTCTGACACAAAGGTATTGATAGAGGACCTAGCAAATGAAGTGAACACATGAGATGGCCACGTTCTCTTATTCCACATCCTTTGTTTTCTCGTTCTGTTCCCCTCTTCCCCAAGTAACCCGAGCTCTGGTACAGATCCAGCTGAAAACAGGAGAAAACACTGAACACGTTTTCTGAGCTCTTCCAGACCAGATCCTATGGACTCCAGCAAGCTCACTGTGTTTTGTTTCTTTTCTTCTGGGTTAATTTTAATGTTCTATTTTAAACAAACAAACAAACAAACAAAAATAAAATATTTTACTTTGTTTTGCCAATAAAGAGGACAGTTCAGGAAAGAAGGATTGTTTACAGTCTCAACAAGGACATACAAACCTTATCTGGATAACGAAGCATCATAGGGACTCCCTCATGGGACAGTGCCAAGAGCACACTCAGTTTCTGCTTGGCCCGGTTTTGACTGGTTGAAACCGGACTTTTTAAATCTGATATTTTTGTTGTTGATTTTATTTTTCAGTTGTTTGGGTTTTTTTTCCTTCATATCCAGCGCTGAGGCACTGGCTGCACTTGCAGGGAAAGTGCACTTAGAGCAGTATCTTCATTCATGAAGCTACTTTTTAATTTGATGTAACTTTTCTTATAATTTTTTGGAAATATGATGTATCTGTTGCATATAGTTTTCACATTATTTATGAAACTTAACAACCATATGAGAGTGATTTTGAGTCCTGTGCAATGACGGTTGTAATGGTAAAACAAAGTGGGGAATGTAGATTTCCATCTCCAGGGTTGTGGGGTGATGCCCCCTGCAAATACCCCTTCAGTGAGACAACTTGCACCTGTGTGTACCTTCTCTCTCTTTTATTTCTTTTCAATTTTATTTTAAACCAAAGTTTCTCTTTGTGATATTTTTTTAGTTGCTGCTGCTGCTTCTGGGCATGTCTGTCATGCCAGTTCAAAGCCAACTTCTCCATGTGTGAAAGTAGTGCAGATGATCCTAAGGAAAGGAGAGTTGGTTCCCACCAACAGCACAAACCACTGAGCGAGCAAAGGCTTTGGAACTTCATTCTCCAGATCCAAAAATACTTTTCCAAGCCTTAGGTGTGTCATGAGGGCGTCTCAGTCCGAGCAGAGAGCTTTTCAGGAGTTCTCCAGCAGCCCAGCAAGGTGGGACAAGGCAAGGAGGTGACAGTTCTCATGGGACAGAGGGGGTTCATCAGGCTGGGGCTTAGGAGTGGTGGTGTGTTTCAGGGAGCATGGAAAGAACTGTGGTGTCCTGATGGGGAAGGTGAGATGGAAACAGCTCTTCTGGGGCTCCTGGTTTAGCAAAAAGCCTCTGTTGGGCACTGTCCTGGTCATCTGCCCCTTGGCTCATCTCATTCTCCCAGTTTGGGAAGTGGGATACTTGAGCAGATTTGGGTAATGGACAGCTGAGCAAATAATGTTGGAAGAGAGATGTGAACTCGATGGTCTCGTTGGTCTCCCCTCCTCCTGGGAGGGAGCCATGGAGCCCTCAGAGTGCTGTGGTCCTTCCCTTCCCTTGTTCTCCCTGGGTCTGCCAGGGAAGGGTGACACTCCTGAAGGAGGATCCTCACCTGGCTGGTGCCAGTTTGGGCAGTGGAATGGCAGGAATCTCTCCTCAATTGCTGTTTGGTCATTGTTTCCCTTAATCAGCACCAGAATGTTGCATTTGCTCAGTTTGCCTGCTGTGCCTCTTGCCCAGAGGAGCTGAAGAAGGAAACTTGCTTCTCTTCATTTAGTTGGGAATAGATTAAAACCCTTTAAATAGATTAAAACCCTGTTGTGGTGCTGCTCCTCTCATCTCCCTCCGTGTGGGGCTGCTCTGGTGGGAGTAGAGCTGGATGAGCTGGGGCTGTGCTGGATTCCTGCCTTTACCTCCCTCAGGTCAGCTCATACTTTAAACAGAGCATTCCCACGGAAGTGGAGTCTGGAATAAAGTCCCTTAAAATATTTCAGCCCCTTAAAATATTTCAGTTCCTAATTAGCACTGGTGCCATGTCCAAACCATGTGTGGGTATTTGCAGCAGTGGGGAATGGAGCCATCCCTGCCTGGGGAGCTGAGGGGAGGGCAGCTGCACTGGGAGGGAGAAAATCCAAAATTATTTGGATTTATTCAAATCAAGTAACACCAGTGGGTGTTACTTAAGCAAAGTGTTGTGTTTTTTATACAAAGAATCTGAGCTTTACTGGTAATTATCTTCCTTTCAGAAGGAAATTAAAAATGCAGAGACATTGTGAGCAGTTTGGTGTAGTGGAGGGTGTCCCTGCCTGTGGCAGGGGGTTGGAACTCTATGGTCCTTAAGGTCCCTTCCAACCCAAACCATTCCATGGTTCTGTGATTTGGAAGTGGTGCCAGTCCCCTGGGAGCACCCTGCCTTCCTCAGCTGGGCTGGGGAGGGCAGGGCAGGGCTGGGTGGCCTGTGTCCATCTGTCCATCCTGCAGCTGCACCGTCCCACCCTCTGCTTCCCAACGTGACGGGGTGGGTCGGGTTGCAAGTGATTAAATTCTTATTCTGTAGTTTACCCAAATCCTGATGGGAAGCAAGAATTCAGTCTGTCCATCTGCCCTGCTCCTTGCTCTGCTCTTTCTCTTCCCTTTTTCTGTCTTTGCTGGCAGGAGAAGTAAGGAGAAAAAAAACCAAAAACAAAAAAGGGAGGTGGCATGCTATGAGGAGCAAACATGATCTCCTAAAATAAAACATGGTCCCTTTTGGCAGTGAAGATGCTGTCTCGGGGGAGAGCAGCCTGAATTCCCAGAAGTGTGGCTTTTAAAGGCTCCTAGCTCCCAGCCCTGCATCTGCCTGTTCCCTCCCTCCCAGAGATTTCTGAGAAATCAGGCGTGCAGATTCCTCCTGAGAGCGAGCATTAAAGCTGGGATGGCTCCACGTCTACAGGAACATCTGGCCAATAAAGGGAGACCTAATGAAGCACAGCAGATGGTGAGAGAAAATAGCCCTGTCCCTCCTTGGGAGCAGCAGGAGCCAGGGGATGGGGACATTCCCAGGGTGGCTGCATTTCCTGAGCTGGGCTCTGCTCAGGGGTGCCTGAGAACACTCCTGTAGGGAGAGCAGCAGGGTGGCAGTCCAGAAGGACAGAGCAGTGTTAAAATGAGCTGGGGGTGAGGGGTTTGTCTGCTGCTTTAGTTGTTGGGATGCAGCTGGGTGGGAGCTGGAAGCTGAGGAAGTCTTTAAGCTGTGGATTTCAGGTGCTGGGCTGTGCCTCGTGATTCAGTGGAGGTTGGATTGTACAGCTCTGAGGATGCTGTGGAGCTGCTTTGGTCTGGTGAAACCCATGGATGGTGCAGTCTAAGGAGAGGAGATGCCACCCTGTGGCATTTATGGCTTTTGGAGATTCCCTTTGAACTTGCTTCTCCATGCTGATTCCCTCCAACTTTCCATCCTGCTGCTCCTCTGGGGATTTGGGGTTGCAGGGGGTGAGGTGTTGCAGCATCCAGAGTTTATTTGCTGGCTGTGGTTCCCTGTGTGGCTTTGGGAAACACCAGGTCCCTGTGCTTGGGCAGGGCAATGCCATGTGCCATGGGTGTGTTCCTGGCAGGACAGCAGGGCAGGATTGGGATCTTTGGACTCAGCAAGCAGGAGTGGGGGCTCTCCAATGAGAACTGATGCTGTCCCACCACGTTTTAAAAGAAATGCATCTGCAGCTCTCCTGGCTGCAGCCTTTGTGTATCCAGTAAGCTCCTACCTCTCTCATCCAGGTGCATTCCCAAAGTCAGCTGGTGTTCATCCTACACCTTTCCAACCCTGCTCCTGGCCCTCCTCATTCTCTCAGTGTCTTTGCTGTTTGATTCCAATGAAAGGGGTCTGGCAGCAGCCTTCAGCATGAACATCTTGGAATGGGAGAGATCTCTGGTGGAAATCTCAGCCGAGTTGGATCCAGATGTTCCTACTCCCCTAAAAACCCTTGTGCTGCTCCTTCTGCCTCTGTGCTGGTGCTCAGCTGCCAGGCCAGTGTGGCAGACAGGGAGGGAAAGCACTTCTGCTGCAGGAGATGACAGTCCCTGGGGATTTCACTTCCAGCGAGCAGTGGGGACAGCGTGAAGCCTTTGCTGTGTTTTGAACAGCTCAGGGGGTTTGGCCTTGTCCTGCAGGGATGTGCCCTGCCCTGCTCTGCTCACTGGGCTCCAGGGGCTGTGTCCCCAGCGTCAGGACATGTGCTGGGAAGTGTCCTGGGGCTGGGACGTGGCTTGGCAAGCTGGGACATAAAAGACACTTTGCTTACATGCTGCATCCCAGCTCCGTGTCCTCCGTCCTCTCCTCCGCCCTTCTGCCTTGCACTCGCAGGGGGAAGGTGATCTTCTGCCTTAAACATTATTATTTTTCTTTAATTTACGTTTTTATTCCAGAAGGCAACCGGATTGTTTTGTCTCCTTGGAAAAGAGGGGCTGGGGCTCCTGGGGGAAGGGTGGTAAATCCCTGGGATACCTCTGCAGCAGCCACGGCTGGGCTCAGTGGCTGTCACCTCATCAGACCTTGCCTCCTTTTCATGACCCCCATCCCAAATTCTGCACCTTGGGGCGAGCATCCCCTGCTGCCACCGTGGGCTAAACTGGTGTGTCACCATCCCTGGGGGCTCCAATCCCTGCTGCAACAGCCTGGGGAAGGAGAGGGAAGGGAGCCAGCACGGGAAGCTCCCCGATGCTGACACCCCAGCCCTGGTCCCGGTGGGAGCCAAGGCTGCCCTGGCCCGGGCACCGCCCCTGCCTGGCACGGTGCCCTGCGGCCTGACAGTCCCTCAAACTCTGTAAACCAAATTGCAAACTCTTCACTCCAGAGGAGGAATTGGGCATCCTGGTGGAACTTGCCGTGACCTCTCCGTCCCATAGGTCCTCGTGGCCAAGGATGGACGCTCGGGAGGGGCCCGGAGTGGAAATGCCAAAGTTCCCCCCGGGCCCCACTGCCGCCTTCCTCTCCCCCTCCCCGCTGTGTTGGTCTAAATGATCTTTCTATGAAGCCCTGTAGATGTCAAAAGTAATTATGGAGTGTGATTAGTCCTCTGTGGGTGCTTTCTTTCTTCCCCGCTCCTTTCTCTTTTGCTATCCCCTTCTCCACTCTTCTGTTTTGGCTCAGTGGAAAAGGTGAGGACAAAGAATTGCCGCTTGCTTGGACTCATGATGTATCTGTGACTGCGCTATTAGCTGTCTCCTCCTCCTCCTTCCTCCCCAAATGGATATAATTTTTGAAGTGTGGAATTCCCTTCTTGATAAGTAGGTTTAAAAAAAAAAATACTGCACAATGTGATACTGTTTCATAGTTTCTAGGTGGTTGTATACAGCAAAGTTACTGTGATTGTGTTTTTTCAAAGGAAAAAGTGATTGGTTACGAAATCTGTCCTTTTTTCATTATTACAAGCTCTTTGTTTTCCAATGATCTGATGGCTCTTTTGTCCCTGGTCTGTGTGTGTGTCTTCCCAAGTGCCACCCCTGTGCTGCATCCACCCACGGAACATTGGCTCCTGCTGCTTCTGCTCTCTTGGGAGCTGTGGGATGTCGCTGGAGGTGGAGGACATCCATGTCCTGGGAGGAGGTGGATGGAGGTGCTTGGAGGAGGGAGCTGTCTGAGGAGGGGTTGGAGGGGCTCACAGGAAGCAGCCCAGCTTTCCCCCAGCACAGCCCAGCTCACACTCTGCATGCCAGGGGCTGGTGCTGGAGGGAACCTCCAGCCCAGACTGGGCTGTGCTGGCCACAGGCTCGTGGTCCTTTTGGGAGCCTTTGGTTGCCTCTCTCCAGCTGATCCCCAGTGCAAGGGGATGTCCTGCCAGCACAGTGTGTGACCAGTGCTGAGCAGCCCAGCCCTGGGTTGTTTGGGGTCTGTGCTTTTATTCTGCTCTTTGAATCTCTCCGTTGCCTCTTGCAATCAATCTGCCTCCAGAAGAGAGCCCAGAGCCTTGAAATCACTCTAAGCCTGTTGCTGCTCACAGCAGCCACTTCCCTGGGAGGTTTAATCCCAGCCACAGCTCCCTGCTGGCATTCCTGGCTGGTGGCAGGAGCCTGGCTGGTGGCAGGAGCCCTCCTGCTGCCCTTTGGCACCTCACCCCAGCTCCATGGGGACATCTCCCAAGCGTGTGTCACCTCCAGAGCCCAGGCGGAGGAGCCAGGATCCCTTTCTGGAATGGCCTGCAGGTAAGGATGAGTCCTGGTGTCACAGGGGAGGTTGGACACAATGCAGGGTGAGGGTGGTTCCTCTGCCCTGGGCTTTTCCACACAGAGCTCTCAGCTGGCCCTTCCTAGTGAAGATGCTCATTCTGTCCCCCATGGAGTCCCCCTGTGTCAGCCCCGTGGGGAAGGAAGGAAGCCCTTGGGCTCAGGTTTGGCTGTGATGAGGGCCCCATGGCCACCGGGGTGGCCGGGGACATTTTAAGAAGATAAAAGTGATTTCTTGCTGCTCGTGCTGGCAGGGGCCGGTGCGGCCAGAGCCAGGAGGATTAAAACAATTTCATAATCCTGGTGATTTCCTTTTCATCGGGATTATGAAACCAATCACGAATATCAAAAGCCACAGCTTAAAGCGGCAGCCGCAGCGGGGCTGGGACGCCCTGGGCCCCCTCAGAGCCCCGGTGCCCTCAGGAACAGCAGCCCTGGCACTTCCAGGTGAGCACTGCCCACCCGGGACCCCTGTCCTGTGTGGGGGGACATGGGGAGGGGGCAGGATGGAGGTGTGGGTGTGCAGGGCCTGGGGAAAGGGGGCAGGATGGGGGTGTTGGTGTGCCGGGCCTCAGAATGGGGATTTTGGTGTGCAGGGCCTCAGGATGGGGGCAGGATGGGGGTGTTGGTGTGCAGGGCTTCAGGATGGGGGTGTTGGTGTGCAGGACCGCAGGATGGAGGTGTGGGTGTGCAGGGCTCAGGATGGGTGCAGGATGGGGGTGTTGGTGTGCAGGGCCTCAGAAGGGGTGCAGGATGGGGGTGTTGGTGTGCAGGCCCTCAGGATTGAGGGTGTGGGTGTGCAGGGCCTCAGGATGGGGGTGTTGGTGTTCAGGGCCTCAGAATGGGGAGCAGGATGGGGGTGTCGGTGTGCGGTGGGCAGGCACGTGTGGCATGCCGTGTTTGCAGGTAGGGATGTGTAGGGATGTACCCAGCTCGGCTTCCACTGCTCTCCTCCACGGCCCTGGCTCGCCGTGGGTCCAAGCAGGATTTGGCCTGCGGGAAGCAGGGGAATTTAGCACAGCTGCAAACGTGTGATGCTCGCAGGGAGGTGCCGAGAGCCGGCGGAGCAGCGGGGACATGCGGGACAGCCCCCCCGGCAGGGCCCGGCTTCGCTCCGCAGCCCACACAAAGGACATTCCTGAGGGAGGGCCGGGGCAGGATCCCTCCATCCCGGACCGCTGGGTTCCCTCCTGTGGCGTTCCCTGGGTGGCGGACGGGGTCAGCCCCTGTCCCCAGCGTGGCCGTGGCCGCGGTGGCCCTGCGGGGACCGGGCCGGCTTTGGCCGGGTGCGCGGAGAGGAGGAGGAGGAGGAGGAGGCCGGGGCGGGAGGCAGGGCCAGCACGGCCCCACAGCCCAGCCAAGCGGCTGAGCTCGGGCTCGGCTGGAGGGGCTGGGATTTGCTGGTTTGGCCGTTTTTTTTTTTTTAATTTCTTTTTTTCCCTCCCCTGCTTCCTTCCCTTCTTCCGCTTTCTTTCTCCTTCTTTCCCAGCCCTCTCCCGATGCTGCTCCGGGGGTAAGGACAGCCCTCGCATCCCGCCCGTGCCCCGTCCCTCTCAGCCTGGGGCTGTGAGGGGCTGTGGCGCGGCCATGGGGCCCGGGGGTGCCACGGGGATGCTCCTGCACCGCGGCCACGGGGGAAGCTCCTCCGGGGCCATCACGGGGACGGGATGGGACGGGATGCTCCCGGGGTGCAGGAGGGCAGCGGCTGCTCGGTGCCACCGGGCCGGCGGGGCAGGCACAGGACCAGTGCCACGTGTGGCCCCGGGGGCCGGGGCGGAGCAGGGGCTGGCTCTGGCTGCTGGCACCTCGACGAGCTGTCGCCGGGAGGGATTTGTGTTCCGCGGAGAGTTGGGGCCCTGGTTTAGCTCAGGAAGTGTCAGTTCCCTCCGGGCTTTGTTGCCGGGTCCCCCTGGGCACCTGGAGCAGTGTGGGTGGGCACTGGCGCTGCTGCCCAGCCCTGGCCACCCGTTTTGGGGAACCACCGATCCCTCATTGCTGCCCCATTCCCCCTGCTCCCCAGTGATGCTGGCAGGGTGTCGGTGCTCTGTATGGACGGGTGGCCTGGTGCTCTGTCACCTCGCTGTCCCCTTCCCCTCCAGGCACACGCCGGTGGCATTGCTTGCATTTACCCGGCGGGGCAGGTGGTGTGATGCCCTTTGTGGGCGGTCAGGGCTCATTCCCTGCGTTTCATCCCCGCAGGAGCCATGGAGGGGAGCCCTCCCGCTGAGGCGCGGCGCCTGCCGCGGCCCCCCAAGCAGCAGCACGCCCAGGGCGGCCGCGGCCCGGCCCCGCCGGAGCGCCCCGAGCCCCGCGGCCCGCACGCCGTGCTGGAGGCCAAGGTGAAGGCGCTCAAGGAGAAGCGGGGCGGGCGGCCCGGGACCCCCGCGGCTGCCCCCGAGCGCCCCTCGCCCAAGAAGCCGCGGCCCCGGCGGGGGAAGGCGGAGGTGGAGCCGCGGGTTCAGCTCCGCACGTACCTGACGGACGGGCTGCTGGACGGGGCCGAGCCCGAGCCTGGCAGCGGCCCCGCGGCCCGCGGCGGCACCCCGGGGCTCTGGAGGGTGCCGGCAGCCAGGGGAGACGTGCCCGGCGGCGCCGAGCTGCCCCCGGACAAGGGCAGCAGCAGGTCCTGGCACTGCGCCTCCCTCCATGAGAGAGCCGCCCGGGATGAAGCGGCCCGGAGCCCGCTGAGGGAGCGGGGCCGAGCCCCCGTACCCGCGGCCCAGAGCTGGGAGAGGCTCTCGCTGGCTGAGCGCGTGGAGAGGAACCGGCGGCTGCTGCACGAGGTGCTGGGCCTCGCCGCTCCCGGTGCGTGGTTTGGGAAGGTGGCAGGGAGGGAAAACCTTTGGGATGGCGGGAGTCCTCCAGCCTCCCGCTCTGCAGGTGCAGCTCCCTGCTGCCCCACACCCCAGGGCTGCCCCATCCCCTGCACGGCACGTAGGAGGTGCTCTGGGTGATACCTGCCAGTCTCCTCTGGTGTCCTGGTGAGGAATTTCACTGCTGAAAGCAAGAGCAAGAAAATTTTGGGGACACACCAGGTTTTGTAGGCATCACTGTCCCTTTGCAAGCTGCCACCAGAAAAGAGAATAAAGTTCTCCTTTGATGGCCCCATGCCCCCATCCCCACAGTCCCACACCTACAGCCAGGTGCTGTTGCCCCACATTCCCCTCCTTTGGGATCTCCTAGAGCCAAATATCTGGAAGAGCCCTGTGCAGGGTGGTGGGATGGGATATATGGGGGTGCTGTCAAGAGGATGGGGGCTGCCATCCAACCAGGCTGATGCCTTGTCCTTCCTGCATTTCAGAGATGCCAGCGAGCGATGGGGACTGGGACTCGGGGGTTTCGCTGCAGGACGCTGAGGGCTGCAGGTAGGTCAGTCCCAGCCTGGGACAAAAATGGGCATTTCCTTCTTTCCCACTCCCCAGTCTTGTGTATTTAAATGCACCCTTTGAAGCAGCTCCAGGCAAGGGCTGTGGGGCAGCTGGTGAGGGAGTGTTGGGCCCCAGCGATGCTTTGGTGGGACAAGGGACAGAGCTGAGTGTCCCCTGGTGTCTGAGCTCAGGACATCCCTGCCAGGACGCCAGGGCAGGAAGGGAGCTGGGCAAGAGGATGGGACAGAAATTTGCTCCAGGTGCTTAAGAGGATCGAGGCAGCAGGAGTGTGTAATCTTGTTGGGCTAATGGAAAACCTTACAGGTACGGACTAAAAATAAGGAGGTGGCATAGGCAGGTGACAGGCTGGGGGCTGCAAAGGGCAGATCAGTGAGTGGGGAAAGCCCCCCCAGTGTTGTGGTCGCTGCCTGTGCTCTGCTCTGGCAGCTGGATCAGTGGTGGGGGTGCAAGGCAGAGCCAGGGATGCAGCACCTGCCGTGGGCAGGGCAGCCAAAGCCTGGGGGAGTTCTGGGCCTCCCGTGGCGCTGCTGGGGGGGCAGCGTGTGCCCACCGTGCTGCACTGAAGAGGTTAAGGCCGGGCTTCCCGGGGAGGCTGCCTGAGCTGATTATTTTAATCAGGAGGATTAGGGCCATGGCCAGCCAGGAAGGCAGTGGTGCAGCAGGGAGAGCTGTCAGGCCCCTCACCCAGCACTCATAGGGGTGCGGGGAAAGACCCCTGCAAGGGAAGGGAAGGCAGCAAGACAATCGGGTCAGGGGGTCGCCCTAAACCTCCCTGGCTACAGGCAGGGATGGGAAGTGCTGCCTGCCCCCATTTCCCTGTCCACCTCTGGGATGCCCGAGGCACAAAGCACTGCCTCGGCCGAGCCTGTGCCCGAGCTGGGTGGGTGCTGAGCCTGCCCCAAGGTCTCACCTGGCACCGGGGGTGTGGGGTGCCCGCCCGGCCATCCCCGGCGCGGCCGCCCGCCCGGCCATGAACGGCGGCCAAGCCCCGCTTTCCCCGGGCAGGGCGGCCTCGCCGTCACTGTTAAAGCACGTCTAATCCCTGTTATTTTTTCCTAATCCCGCTGCCTGCTGCGGGGCTGCAGGGCCTCGGTGGCCGGGCAGGAGCTGGAGCTGAGCCCGCGGCACGAGCAGGCCAAGCAGCTGCTGCAGCGCGCCCGCATGAAGGCCCGCACGAACCCGCTGCGCGCCAGCCACGACATCCTGCTGCTGCCCGGCGCCGTCCCGCAGCCCAGGTCAGTGCCCCACGGTGCTCCCGGCCCACAGCCGCATTTGGGGCACATCCACGCGGGGTTTGGAGCCGGCACTTGTGTGCAGGCATGTGTGTGAAGCCGGGGTCTGACCCGCTGCCTCGTACCCGGGATGTGCCCGGTGTTTGGGAGTTCCTTGTGGGGGGTATCAGTGGTGGGAGGATGGCGTTTCCCAGCTGATGGGGAATGTTTTCCCGGGCGAGAGGGAAAACTGGTAGGAGGGAGAACTCCTCGCTGCCGGAGGCTGGACCACAGCGGCGTCTCGCCAGGTCATGTGCGATGTGGTGTTCCCGGAATGATTAACCACACACCTCGGGCAGGGAAGGGCCGATGGAGGTCGAGCCCTGCCAGCAGCCGCAGCCCCTCCGGATTTCAGCTTCAGGCGGGAGGGAAGCAGGGCTGTGCACAGCCCGGGGAGCACCGGGCGGGCTTTCCTCCTTGCGCTGGGTTTTGCACTTTCCTCCTTTCGCACCGGGTTTTCCCCCTCCCGCCCTGCTTTCCCAGGGTTGCCGAGCAGCTCGCCTGCAGGGCGTCCGTCTGTCTGTCCCCATGGCAGGGAACCCGGCGGGCGGCCGAGCGTGGCCCCGCGGGACGGCGGGAGCCTGAGCGACTCATCCAGCGGGGAGTCGAGCTGCGGGCGGCCGCGGCGGCCGCGGGGACCGTCCCCGTCCCGAGTCCGCTTCGAGGACGAGTCGGCGCGGGACGCCGAGGTGCGGTACCTGGAGCGGCTGCAGCTGCGGCAGCGGCGGGCGCTGGGCTCGGCCCTCGCCTCGCCGGAGCCGGCAGGCAGCAGGCAGCCGGGGGACGGCGCCGGCCAGCCCAAAGCCCGCGGGGGAGACCTCGTGGCCGGGGGCAAGTGCAGCGCCTGCGGCTCCTTCCTCGGCGCTGCCGCCGGCCGGGGCACGGACGCGCAAGCTGCCCCCGAGCCGGCCAAAAGCAGCCCTGCGGCACAAAGAAGCGTCCCCGGGGATGGCAGAGGGCCGGGCGCTGGCCAGACAGAGCCGAAAATCCGGCCTCTGGGCCCTGGAGGGTCCCCGCTGTGGATCCTGCCCTCCCGGCAGCGCATCCACACCGAGAAGATCAAGGAGACCTACATCGGGGATGTCACCTACATCGACGAGGTGGACTCGGCCCTGGAGAGCACCGACACCTCCGACGGCTGCCGGACGGACAGCGAGGAGGCCGGACCGCGCAGCCCCCACCTGCGGGGGCACCGGGACCCCCGCACCCGCGGGCACAGAACTCCCCGCGCTGCCCCGCAGCCCGAGCCCAGGGCCAGGAGGGGGACGTGTGCGGCCAGCGGCGGCCCCGAGGGCGGGGACTCGGGTCCGGGCACTGTTTGCCCCCCGCCACCGGGAAGAACCAGCGGCCGGGAAGATGGGGAAGCCCATCGACATCTGGGGGGCAGCAGCAAGGGAGCAATGAACACAGCTCGCCCCCCGCAGCAGCCCAGTGAGCCCCTGGAGCCTTCCCCGCAGCTGAGGAGCAGCACCCCCATCCCAGGCACCCACGTCCCTGCTCCCCCTCCCACCAAGAAGGCCTGCGCCCAGGTGCCTTGCAGGAAAGCGCTGTTCTCCGGCAGCAGCCGCCAGGTGCCCAGCCAAGCAGGCCGGGGCCCGGAGCCCGATGCCGGCAGCGCAGCCCCCCCGCAGCCCGGGGGCACGGCGGGCCCGGCCGAGCGCCGCAGTCCCTGCAGCCCCCGCTGGCTCCCGGGGAGCCCCCTCCGTGCCTTGTCCACCAACAACTGCAACAACACCCACGGGCAGGACGCCCCGGGGCCGGGCAGAGGTGAGAGATGCACGCACGGGGTGCTGGGGGTGTCCCCAGTGAAACTGGCGTGTGACTGTCTCTCTGTGGCTGCAGGGACGCTGTCACACCCCGCTGGCAGCCCTGTCACCGCCGTGCCCCCCGAGGCTGCTGATCCTGACGGGGAAGGTGCCGGGATGTCGGGAGCGCAGCCACAGCGGCACCCGGCCGGCAGCGCCGCACACGGGTGAGTGAGCATGGGCAGCCATGGCTCCCACACCGGGCAGCCCTGGCATCCAGACAGGGCAGCCATGGCTCCCAGACCGGGCAGCCCTGGCTCCCACACCTGGCAGCCATGGCATCCCAAACCGGGCAGCCCTGGCATCCCAACAGGGCAGCTCTGAGCATCCCAAACCGGGCAGCCATGGCTTCCCACACCGGGCAGCCCTGAGCATCCCTGCTGGGCACTGCTGGGTTGAGCTCCTTGGCTCCAAAAACCTCGCAGAAACCACGGTGTGGGGGTTACAGTGTGCCCCTGTGTTTGGGGGAGCTGTGTTTCCCCACATCTGGTTCTGCCGGGGATGTTGGAGCAGATGTGACAGAGGTGTTTTCCTGGTGTTGGGTGAGGAAAATCAGCTGCCTTGGGGCTTTCCTGTGCGATCCTGCCAGCCCTGTGCCTGGCACTGCATGTCTCAGCCTGGCAGGAGAGTTCCAAGGTGGTGCTGGGTCCTCTGAGCCCGTTGGCAGGATGTGATCCCTTGGGGCAGAGCAGGGGACTTCTGAGGTGTGTAAAACCCCTGAAATAATGGAGAAAATGGGGAGGGAGCCCCTCGGGTCACTTTGGGTAGTGACAGACTTGTGTGTGCTGGGGCACTGCTGCGGGGAGGAGGCTGCCCCTGTGCGCCCCAATCTCACCGTGCACCCCAGTCTCAGCGTGCTGCAGCTCTCGGGGCTGCCAGGGCGGGTGCAGGATGCAGCCCCAGCCCGGAGGCGGCTGCAGGTCCTGCAGACGCTCGGTGTGTGACCGCCACGCCTCTCCTTGTCCCCGCAGGGAGCCGGGCCGGCCAGTGAGCCGCAAGGGCAGCGGCGCTTCGGCCTCGGGGCTGAAGAAGCTCCTGTGCAGCCTGAGCCAGAGCACCAAGCAGCGCCTGGGCCGCTTCCGCTGCTACAGCATGGAGCAGCTGCCGGCCCCCGGCATGTCCCCGCAGGGCAGCCCCGGCGTCAAGAAGTCACCGTCCCTGCAGTCCCTGCAGTTGGTGAGCGTGGAGCCTTCCTCATGTCAAGCTTGAGCGTGGACATGCGGGGGTGCCATGGGGAGACTGGGGTGGCACAAAGGAAAGGATGCTGGGCTGGGATGAAGAGTTCCTGAGTGTGGATTTGTGGCTCAGGTGGTCCTGGAGGGGGTGTGGGGGGATGAGCCACTCCAGACCTGCTGTGTTTGAAAAGCCCAGAGCCAATTGGGAAGTGGCAGGGGGAAGGAGGGAGAGAGGGGTGGTAGTGGAAGAGCAGATACGCTCGTCCCTCCTCAGCAGTGAGCTGGGGAGTGCTCCAGGGGGGTGGGATGTCCTAATTCCTCCACTCCTCCTCCTCCATTCCCTCGGCACGTGATGTCTGTCCCTTCACAGTGTGGTGAAGAACTGCGGTACTGCACAATGTTTGTCCCCATCTCAGCCAGGTGTTTCTCCCCAGGTGTCACCCTTCTGCCAGCCCCAAAAAGCTGCCTCTATCCAGAGCCTGCATCCCCAGCTGGGGAAGACACCTCGTGCCAGTGCCTACCTCCTGCCCCAGACCTCGGCTGACAGGTAGGACGGGGGCTGGCACATCCCTGCGGTGCCCAGGACGCTGTTCTGGCATGCTGTGGTGGCTCAGTGCCACCAGGGGCTGCAGCACTTCCCTTGTCCCCTGTCCCCGCAGGAAGGGGGGCTCGGGGCCGCAGCGCTCGCTGAGCGTGGAGGACATCGGGGCGCCGGGGCAGCTGCGCGCCGTGGGGCGCGTGGTGCAGGTGTTCCCCGATGGCACCAGCCAGCTGGAGCTGCAGCGACCGCCCCACGGCGCCTTCGGCTTCTCCGTCACCTCCGGGCACGGCCGGCCCGACACAGGTACTGTGGGACATCCCAAAGCTTTGGGACACTGATCCCTCCATGGTGGCTCCCATCCCACCCAGGGGTGAGCTCGGGCACCGGCGCAGGGGGTTGCTCCATTGCTGCGGAGCGCTTGCCTTGGAACACGAGCCCTCACCAAAGGCTGTTTATCACAGGTTTGTTTCTGTGCTGCCCCTGGGCTCTCACCCATCCCCGTTCCCCCCGCAGGTGTCTACGTGCAGGAGATGGCGGATGCTGGCACGGCCAAGCTCTACGCGGGGCTCCTGGCCGTGGGGGACGAGATCCTGCAGGTGAACGGCGCGGCCGTCTCGGGGCTGGGGCTGGCCGGGCTGCGGCAGCTGCTGCTGAGCGCTGACAGCCTGTCCCTGCGAGTGCTGCGGCACCGCCCCGCGCCGCGCTAGCCCCGCCGCCGCCCCTGCGGAGGCTGGCCAGAGGAGGAGCGTGTCCCAGTGATGGGAGGAGGACGATGTCCCGCTGATGTCCCTACATACTGCAGAATGGCACGGACCAAGCTGCCTCGCAGTGCCAGGACCAGCCCCGCTCCACTGCAGTGGCTTTCCTTGTCCCCCTGGGAGAGAGTGTGGGAGCAAGGACATCCCAGAGTCTCCAGGAGCTGCCCAGGTGTGGGGGACAGGGGACAGCCTGGCCCCAGCAGAGCTGGGTGGGTCTGTCCTGCAGGCACTGGGGTGACCAGCATGGGGACACCGCATCTCTGTGACCCCAGGAGACAGAGGGCTTCCTGCCGGCACTGCCACCTTGTGCTGGAGGGCTGGTGAGGTTCTTTTAAATTATTACAAACTGAAACCTGAAAATACATCTCTGCAATGACAAAACAGTGCCCTTGGCTTGTGGCATGGAGGGGCTGGGGTGGTGCTTGGGGCCCTGGGATCTTCGCTACTTGGTTTTTTCCATGGCCCTGCTGCTCCACCAGCCACCTCCTGACCGTGCTGTGGTGCTGGGGGGCCCTGGGCAGGCAGGTGGGGGGGCTCAGGCACCTGCAGGGCTCCGTGGGGATTTTGAGGGCTTCTTTTTTCCAGCCATGGAAGGCAAAACACGTTCTTGGAGGGTCTCCAGCAGCAATGGCTGCCCTCTGCACGGTGGTGCCCCACACGTGGGCACAGCTGCCCACAAGGCTGAGGTGACCCCAGAAACTGCAGATGCTGCTTATGCCTCAAAAACCAGGATGGTGATGCCTGGCAAATGCTGGGGGGAGAGCTTTTCCCACTCCCTGGTGCCAGCAGACCCCGAGGTTGTCCCAGGAACAAGAGTCAGGTAAGGAAGAGCGGAGATCGACGCTGCTGCACCTTTATTTAGTGTTCAAGGGAAGGGCACCACCAGCGACAGAAAAGCAAATGTACACAGGGAAAGGGACCACAGACACTCGGGTGGCTTGTGGTGATGCCAGCAGCTGGGCCACCCCCTGGACTACCAAAGGAGCGCTCCTCCATGGGAGTCATTCCCCAAGGATGCACAAACACGCTGGGAGGAACACGGGGACCAGAGGTGTGCAAACAGCAGCCAGCAGCGAGCCCTGCTCCCTGCCCACACCCGTGCTCCTGGAGAGCTCCGTCCCCACCGAGTGGGTGCCACGGACACTGCTACAACCAGCGGGGAAAGCAGACACGGCCTGTGCCCTGCAGGGATGCTGCAGGACAAGGAGCCACGGACACTGCTACAACCAGCGGGGAAAGCAGACACGGCCTGTGCCCTGCAGGGATGCTCAGCAGGACAAGGAGCCGCTGGAGCCGTGAGTGCGGGCGGGCGCCGAGCGAGGCACCGCGTGTGCGTTACTGACGAGCGGGCGGGAGGCTCCGTGCGGCCCCGCCCGGCTGCGGAAGGCACCGAGCTGCCGGCGGTGCATGCAGCGCCTGCGGAGGGACGGGGGGCCCGCAGAGCTCCGAGGGGGAGGAGTGTTCAGTTCCGGAGGTAAAGCCGTCCGGTGGCAAGATTCTAAGGCGGGGGGTGGATGATTTTGGGGATGATTTGCAATTTCAGCAGAAGTCTTTGCGTCAGCGCCAATTAACTTCCTCCCCCAGCCCCATCTGGGAGCCATAAGCCAGGCTGTGCTGAGTCTTTTCATGTTTGCAACTTAAAATATGGGAGCAGACTGGAGTAAGAAACCGTTTTTGCTTTCCCCCATCCCACAATTGGTGCTTGCAGCACGGTCCCTCTGCCTGTTCCTCTACACTGACACTGCCCAGGTGAGCTTCCTTCACATTTCTGGTACTGCCCACCTGGCTACTCCACATTCCCTGGAGGGAATCCAACCCTGATGAGACAACTGGAGTGACAAACAACTGGGAGGTAACAAAAGGACTGGGGAGGAATATGGAAACATGATCTAGCTTTGAATCTCCTGCCTTTTGGTTGCTTACAACGGAGGTGTCCAAAAAATAGCAGTTGGGAAAAATTAAGACATCCTATTTACAAGTTCATGTACACTTAAAATACATCACTGAGCACTGTTGCTCTGATCATGTGTGTCAGAGAGAACATGGCTCTAATGGTCATCAAAAAAATCTTTAAAGTTTTTTTTTTCTTTTCTTAAAAAAAATAAGTTATTTTAGACTTGGCAAATCACTTGCCAAAGGGAAGCAGCTGTTAAACAGAAGCAGTGACTCAGTTATACAAGGGCAAAGAAAGCATCAGTCAATGAGCTTTAGAGAGCCTGTATAATGAGGGAGGCAAGTTTAAAAGCTTCAAGACTCTCCCTGTGTGGCTCACAGCTGATTGCCAGCACTCGGTGTGCAGCCCCCCAGGTCTGAGGCTCTGGGGTGCCCATGCAGGACATGAGACCCCACAGCTCTGCCCTCTGCCCAGGGAGGGGGCAGGAGAGCTCTGCCAGGACTCACCGCGCTCTCGGCAGTGAATTGGTGCTAGAGCCCGCCCACAGGAGGCAGGGAGGGGCGCGGGGAGCAGGGCCAGGGCTCCCCTCCCTTGCTGTGGCTTCGGGGGGTTCACCCTTCCCAGCGATGCTTGAGGCTGGCACTGGCAGCGCCGTTTGTAATGCTCAGTGAACTCAGTCACTGCTCCCCGTCCCATCCTCCCCAGGGCTCGCTGCTCTGTGTCCAGCGGCTCCTACCTGCAGCGGGTGGGGCAGCTCCCCCTGCGGCTCCAGGGATGCAGCGCCGGAGCCCAGGCCCGGGGGGCACCGCAGCGGGGGCGGAGGCAGCCCCAGCGCTCCACCCCCTCCCCGGGGCCAGGGAGACGCCGCAGTCCTTGCAGGAGGATGCCGAGAGCTGCTGCGGGTGTTCCTGCCGGGGATCTCTGTGGGCGGACGGAAATGGGCAGAGTTTCATTTCCCTGCGCTGCCGGGGCCAGGGGGCGGGCAGGGGGCGTCCCAGGAAGTTCAGTTTTTGTCATCACAGCACAAAAAACAGGATGAGCACCACTAGCAAGATGACGAAGAGGACAACAATTGCACACCACTGCCGTCGATCTGGAAAGAAAAGGAAGCATCAGTCTTCCTGCTTTAAGAGGGAAAATTTGGTTCTGCTAGGAACCAAAGTCAAGCTTAAGGTACAAAAAGCCAAAACAAGAGTTCCTGTGGGAGAATGCCTTACTGCACCACAGCCTTTCTCCTCCAGGATACACTGGGGTTTGGGAACAGCTGTGGGAATTCTGAGCCTTCTTCCCAACCAAGTTCAAACAGCTTTGAAAAGCTGGCTCAAAAGCAATTGGGAGGAACAAGCAGAGAGCTGCTGTGTTTGCTGTTCATTCATGGAGCAATCTGTTTGCCAGAGGAATGAGAAGGGATCCGGTGAAAGCTGCCCTGAGGAGCTCTGCCAGGAAGAGATTGTGGCACCTTCCCTTAGGACAGGGCCAGGAATCAGGTTTCCCTGGACATCTTTACACCTCATTGGCTCATCCCCTCTGAGAGCTGCTGATGATGGTGCAGCAGTGGGGACAGGGCTGCTGGCACCCCCTCAGCTCCTAGGCACAGCAGCTACCCCAGAAAGAGCCCTCCTGCTCGCCCTGGAATAGGCGATTCCAGCAGAAATTGCAGCTCTTTCCCAACACTCAGAAACACTGCAGAGATCCATGGGATTTCCCAGAGGAGAGGGCAGAGACACAGGGTTCACCCGTGTTTGTGCTGCTGCTGAGCTACTGCTGACCCAAAGTGCACCGTCAGCACTCCAAGTGGTCTCTCTGGGGCTGTATTCCCCCTAGCTCATAAATCCCTCGGACAGCCTAATCCTGCAGAGCAGGAATGCCTTTCCTCCTGCCAGGCTGCTGCTTTCCCAAGGTCCTGGGCAGCCAGGGGAGAGGGGTGCTGCAGGAGGTGCTGCCTGGGCATGGTGCCAGGCTCAGAGGCAGCCACAGCCGGGACTTCCCGGCAGCCAGGCCGGGCTTCCTGTTTGCTCTGGCTCCAGGCACAGCCTTATAAGGACTTCTCTGTGGGTTCTGCACAGAATTCTGCTCTTTCCTCTACCAGCTGAGAGAGATGTGACCCACAGCAGCCTGCAGGCACCAGCAGCAGGTGGGGATTTGGGAAGGGGATTGCTGCAGGCATTTGGTGTTTAATGGCACCTTGACAGCTTTTGTTGCACAGGCAGCCAGGGAAAGTGCAGCAGAGCAGGAGGCTGCAGAGCTTCCCCTCCCAGCAGCTAGAGGGGGATTTTCCCAGCAGCAGCAGCATAAATAGAAAGGCATCTGTAAATAAAACAAAGGGAGGGGACAGGCAGCAGAGCAGTGTCTGGGCAGGAGCAGCTGCCGGGCTTGGAACCCTTCCCCTTCTTTCAAGAACTGAGAGCTGCTCCCTCCCCTTGGCTGGCTGGGTGGGAGCACAGTGTCCCAGCCTGAAGATCCAAGGCTTGTTTCTCCCTTTCCAGGACTGCATCCCACTCCCCAGGACCTACCACTGGTCATGTGGGACACTTTGGCCAGTTTCTTCATGACGTTATCGAGGCGTGACTGAGTGCTGTCCAGCTCGTGGGAGAAGTCATCCAGCATCCTGGGGACACAGAGAGAGGCAGGGCACTGCTCAGCACGTGGCATATCCCTGGGCATTCTGCACCACGCTCACACATGGATCTAAACACTGATGTGAGCAGAGCAGCACACCCTGGCTGACAAAATGAATGTGGCCTCCTCTCCTGGGAGCACCCGAGGGAGGGGAAAAAGCTGCTGAAGCAGCAGCTCTGCTTTGGTGGGAGGCAACTCGGGATTCCTGCCAGACTGAGCCTCCCCTGGGTGTTTGTGGCTGAACTCTACACATCTGCAAGGTGAGGAGTGGGGGAGGGCCTTCCTCCTTACAAAAGGAAAGTCTCATTTATAATCCGTGATTAGCATCTACGTGTCGGCTTGGACTTTAAATCCCTTTTCTTCTTCAGGGCTTGCAGTTTAAACTAAAATCTTGTTTCAGTCATGTCTCAAGTGGGAATGAGATCTGCAGTTGCTTTTAAGGTGCTTTTCAAGCTCTGCATGGAAGTTACCCTTTTACTTCCTCCACACAGTGACTGTAATGAATCTGAAAGCCTTCCTGAATCCGTGCTTTGTCAATGCCAGTGCACATCCAGAGTCAAGGTACCAATCCAATTGTCTCCAGCCAGTGGGACTTTAAAGCTTAATGCATTTAAAAGGACAGACTCCTTCATTTGGAGTGCCAGGGCACTTGTTAAACCTTCATTCAGTGGGGAAAAACTCTCTGTGGTAGTTATGAGCTAATCTTGCAAGCATTGATGGCTTGTGTGATGATCTAGAAAGAGACACACCACACCAATCTCCTCTGTGAGAGCAGAGGATTCTCATGCTGCACAGCTTCACACAGGAGGGAGGTTCAAAGTTCCTCCTCTCCATCCAAGATGAAATCACTTCACAAGGGACATGGCCCTCCAGACTCCTACCAGCCAAACAAGGAGGGGTTTTAGCCATGAACCCTTCATGCCTTTCTGGAAGCATAGCTCTTAGCCTGCACAACTGGGAACTTGTTTGCAAAGGACAAGAACTGGGAAAGAAATCTAATTTATATGTAAATGGATGGATGCAAAATGACTTGGTGAGCTGCCCTTTAACCGTTTGCGTGGGTGAGGGTTATTTTTAACTTCAGTGATGAAGAGCAGCTCTGTGCTGTGTATTTCAGGGCACAGCTGAGAGCTCCTGGCCGCAGGAGCACAAAACCCTGCAGAGTGGAGAAGTGGACAGCATCTGCATTGCACAGCCCCTCCCTTATCTGCTGGCTGCCTGAGGGGGAGCATGTGAAAAGGAGAGGAGGAAAGGAAAGGTGGCAGTTCAGCCTGCCCTAGGTGCAGCCCTCTAAAGGAAGGAGGTTGCAGTTGGATCCTTGGGGATTGCAGTACAAAATGCTTTCCACAGGCTGCCTGAGGCACCAGTGGATTCCAGGCTGTACCAGAGGCAGAGGCAGGTGTGTGAGGACATCCAGCCATGCTGCAGCCAGCCCTGTGCCAGGTTTTTGCCACCATGTCTCACACTTACACCGCCTGCTCCTCCAGCTCCCCGCCAATGCGCTGGGACATGTTCTTCAGCACACCGATGCTGCCAGAGACCAGCTCCAACTGCTCATCCTGCTGCTCCACAATCAGCTGGGGCCAGAGAGGAGAGAAATGGGCAATTACAGATCTGCTGCCTGCAGCTGCCTTGGAGCCAGCCCATCCAGTGGACAGGCACTGGCTGCTCAGCCAACATCAGCTGTGAGGCCTGGGCTCAGACCTAAGCCACCAGGAATGAGGACTGCATTCCTAAGAAATGCTGGAGAGGAGACAACCAGGGGAAAGTCTCCATGGCATGGCATCCCCATGGCACAGCAGGCTGCAGCCTCCAGACATCCCTGCAAATCCAGCCTCAGCTCATCCATGCTGCATGCACAGCTCAAGTGACTTTGGAAAGCTCCAAGGGCTGGTCATCAAAACCTTGGCAAGGTGAGCAGGCCAGGGAGGCACACTGATGCTGTGCCTGGGAAATGCCACCTGGCATGTGCCACGGCTAACACGGGGTTAATGCAAGCAGAAAGCTGTTGCAGCTTCTACAGCTAAAAATAACCAGCCTGGCTCTGAATGTGCCAAAGGAATAAGTCTGCTGCTGTTTTAAGTCATTTTCAGGGCACAGTCACACCAAGGATTAGCCTTACCCTAGTTACCTATTTCTGAGGCTGTTTATCCCCCTGCAGTCAGTAGGTAAAACGTGTCTGCAGGCCAAGGTGGCAGCAGGGCTCAGGAGCTTTAGCAGAGTTTGCCACCTCCGAGCCACTGCCTGTGTCAAGGCCCTGCAGTTCTCCAGGCACACTCCCCTGCCAGCTGGGAAGTGCCTCACCAGGGGCTCTCCCAAGGCCTCACACAGCCCTTGTCACCAATCTCACGGGGACAAAGGCAGGAAAAGGAAGCAGGCACGTGCTCCTGCTCCCAGCCTGATCTGATGGGGGATGCACACAAACACCACCAAACATTTTCTAACCAGGGGAAGTTGCATAAGACAAACGGGCTCTTTTCTTTTTGCAGTGTTTCTACTCTTCCAAGGATTTCAGCAATCTTTGCACTATTAAATCCTAGTGTGCTCAATCTTCCAGACTGTGCCAACTGCCTCCTAAACCCAGCAGAAGCCCCACGGCTCCAGAGTTAAAAACCTTGTGCCCAGATCACCCAGAGCTGTCCTGCACAGGAAATGCGGGCACACACACATGCCACAAGCTAAGAGGAGAACTGTCAGGCTCCTGCAGCCAGAGCAGCCCCCTGGCACCCCCTTGGCAAGCAAAGCTATTTAGTGTGTGGTGCCAGCTGCCTTACCTGTTGTTGAGCTTGCTGCTCCTCGATGAAGTGTGAATTGGCTAACTGCAGCTCCCGGTCCAGACGGCTGTATTTGTCAGGTCCAGAGCTCCAACTCTGACTGCCACTGTCTCCCAGGAGTGCCTGAACAGATGCAGAGAGCTCTTAGCAACGCCCCTGTGTCTGCTCACAGCCTGTCCACAGGGTGAGCTGGGGAGGCAGACAAGGCAACTCTCCTGTACACACACACAGCATCCCCTTCCTCCTGCTCTGCTGCTGCTCAGCCAGTGCTGTCAGGAACTAAACCAACACAGAGCCAAAATGTCAGCCTGGGAGCCTCCGCAGCCTGGCATTGCAGAGATGCCTCTCCAGCAGCAGGAGAGCTGGAGTGTGGCCTGTGTGTGCAGGAGGCCTGCTCAGGAGGCAGCACTGTGTGCTAGGACACGTGAGCTGGGAAGTGTCTGGGTATGTTGTGTTAACACATGTGCAGCTCCATCTGAGCACTCTGCTGCTAATGACAGGGGCTTAAGAGGGTCTGGATAAAGGACTTAACCAGTTGAGCTGACAGTAAAGTAATGCAATCTATAACCAGAGCAGTGCTGTATGCTTATGTTCTATGATCCAGGCTGCCCATCACCCCAGCAGGCTCTGCAGCTGCCAGCATACAAAGTTACTCTTGCTACCTGTGAGAGAGAAACTCTGCAAAGCCTGCAGAGATGTGGCTTTCCAGCCAAGTATGTCTGGTCCCTGAAAAGGGTTCAGGGAAATATGTCTGGTCCCTGAAATGGAAACAACCCAAGCTTCAGATGCTGGAGAATGAACACGAGCTGCATGTGAGGAACTGCACCCTGCAGCACCAGGGAAGGGTGAGGGACTCTGCCCTCCAGGCTGACTTGTAATGAGACCATCCTGCAGCTCCTGGAAATGACCGAGTATTTGTGAAGAACAGCAAGACAATGCTGTCTGTCAGGCTGAAAACCAGACAGTGTCTATGGTTCATCTGACTGACAAGGTTCAAGGAGGGGTGAGGAAAGCTGACAGACTGACCATGCAGGAAGCCAGCAGGACATCTGGCTTTTTCTGCCCCCAAGACGCTGAGCAAGCTCCTGGTCCCTCCAGTCTGTGGCAAGAGCAGCTCCTTTTGATTTAATATTTTATTTAGTGCACTAGCTTTGCCTGCAGCTTCAACAGAAAAGGCCTGTTTGCCAGCCTGGGCTGTGAGGGTCAGGTCATTGCTCAGACACAAAGCCCAGCACAAGCCTTGCAGTCTGGAGTGAAGGTGAGGGGCTCGGAAGGGAGAGGAAGGCAGCAAAGGGAAGTCAGCCTTCCTGACCAGATGTCACTGCATCAGCTGGGCCATATGGTCTCCTGCAGCTACCAGGAACCTCATGCAAAGGAAAGCAGCAAATCCCAGGGAAAGCTACAGACTTGTTTAAGCAAGGGTGTCAGGGACTTTGCTGCTGGGAGTGTTTGCCAAGCACATTAATTAACCTGTGACAAGCTCAGGAATGAGTTCTGTGCTTCTCAGTTTGTTGTGTTTGCCACGTGTGGTAAGGCTGAGGCAGTACAGACAATTAACTGTACGAAGCACACACCAGCTTTTACTGGAGTGGGTCTGGAGTCAGCTCCAGTATCTCCTTACAGCCTCTCCAGCAGCCAGCAAGCAGCACAAGCTGCATCTATTTCTATTCCTTAGATTACAGACAACACCAGACTCCTGGAGCCCCTTCCATCTTCTTACAGGGCTATTACCAGAAGCAGCTGCCTGAAAGGATATTGCACCATCTTGGCTCCTAAATCCAGCGGAGTGCAGGATTACATTCATTGACATGGATTCTGAGCTGCTTCCCCCCAGGGAGGAGGAGGGAGATTTCCCTTTCCATGGGATGGTGCAATGCTGACAGTTGTAAACAAGCAGCTCTGAAGACAGAGCCAGATGGTGAGTGCTGCCTTACAGCTCTGAGAGAGGCCTAGGAGAGCCTGGCAGCCTGTGAGAACCAGAACTCCCAGGGCAGCCAAATGGACACAGCTCACACCCAGCCTGGGAGCCCCTGCCCACACCCAGGGGCTGTAAAGAGAGACACTCCAGACAGGACAGACACTGTAGCAGAAATAAATTGCCCAATTCTCATTCTCACCTGCCTGTTTTTCCTTTCAGCCAGTGCTTGCATGGAAGAGTTTGACATCTGATCCTTCATGTCCTGTTCATTCAACAAAAAAAAAAGGAGCATGTGAGCATTGGGTTTGAGGTGACAGGCAAATTCAGGGTGCTACAGGGCTGTTGAGCATTGGGTTTGAGGTGACAGGCAAATTCAGGGTGCTACAGGGCTGTTTATACCCAGCAAGGCTTCTACATGGGGGAAAGAGGGAAGGGAGATTTTCTTTGAAAACCCACACTTTTGAAAAGTCTGTAAACATACTGTAGACAGTTTCATTATTATATTAATACTGGAATCAACAGCACTATTTTGAAAATATCCCTCATGTACTACTCATTTTTCTCCACGTTGATTTGTGAATAAATGAATGTTCCTGTTGACAGAATGTGAGGAAGTATTTGTCAAGGCCTTGAAGCCTGTAACCTCCTGTGCTTTATTCCCAGCTGCATCTGGTTTTCCATTCCATAGCAGGAGGTAGATTTGCTGTCCTGTGGCCATCCTCTCTGTGTCAGTGTTCTCTCCCACCAATTAATTTCTGCTGGAGCTCCTGCAGAAGGTCCCTAACCACAGAAGGCTCCCCAGCACAATGTAACATAACCTGGTTTGCATAAATTAGCAAGGAGCCAACATCACCTGGCAGAGGCTGATCCACCAGTAGAGGACTCAGATGTGTGTTACTGGTCAGAGATGTGCAACACATCACCAGAGAGCACCACCACACCCCACTTGGTTCATTCTCGCTGGCTGCAGCACATCACAAATTCCCCCCATGGAAACTGGAAGCCAGCTGCACAGGGCCACTCACAAATTTCATTTCCCAGTGGGACACACTGCTCCAAAAGCCATTAGCCAGCATTTTTCAGCCAGGAGAAGAGGACCAGAGAGCAGGCTTGCCTGATCCTGCCCATTAGGGAGTGGAGAGCAAGGCAGCAAACACATGCCTGCTACCTGGGGCCAGTGTGGTTGTGGCATCAGCTCCCAGGCAGCAAACCTCAGGAACTGCATCCAGACCACAGCACTGCAGGTAGGTAACAGGCTTGCTGCCAGCCATACCAGTGCCTTCTGTGGAGCAGGAACATCAGAGTCATGAGGGACAGCAGAAACTCAGTGTAGCTATTAATAGACAGAAAATTTCCCAACAAGCAGCTTGTTACCAGGCTTTGGAAAGATGTTTCTTCTCTATTTGTTACCACCAAGTTGTTAAAATCCCCTTTTTGCTTCTCAAGCATAAGCCTAAACTAAAAAAAACAAGTCTTCCTCAAGTTAAAAATAAATCCAGTGGTTGTTTGGACTATTTTGCAGCAGTAGGAAGTTGAAGTCACCATGTCAATAACAGCAGGCTTTAAACACCTGCCAGCGTTCAAAGTGGTGTCTCTGTTGCTGAAAACCAGGGCTACAAATGGTCAGGACTGTTGAGATTTCCCTCAACTCTGAAGTTGCAGAGTTTGCACACTGCAGCTGGGTCTTCACTGTTTCTCCTGTTACCACAGGCTCCCAGAGCACTGTGAAGCCCTCAAGGCTCAGCAGCACAAAGGGAGGGAATTCCATGGGGCGCCTGCACCCCCAAACCCTTCTGGGCAGCACCAGGAGGGAACGCACGGGGAAGAGGAGGAAGCCTCAGACTCAGCAGGGTGCAGCTTCATTCTCTGCTCCCCATCCCACCCCAGATTTCCTTTTTTAGCCCCAATTCCCCCCAGGCCCTGAGGCCAAGGCAGGCTCCTTACCCTGACCACCTGGCGCGTGCTGGAGATGAAGGCTTTGCGGATGCCCAGCTCCGTGGCATCGAGGTTGAATTTCCGTGGGTTTGCCTCCACAATGCCTGGGCACCGAGTCAAGGAGCCCCCAGAAATGGGACTGGGGACACACAAAGGGTGCCAAGGGGCCACTGTGGTTTGCCTGCTCTCAACATGTGAGTAGCAAAGATGGAACAGGAGACACGGCAGGAATGCGCCGTGCAGCTCAAGCACACACACAAGGTTTCTCTTTTCCACGCGTTTTTTTGGTTCTGAGGAACACAAGGGAAAAGGAGTATTTCTGGAAGGCAGCCTAGAGAATGAACTGACCCTGCAGAAGTCCAGATTCACACAGCACAATAGGCTTTCTACAACAAAGCCCCTTAGAATATACTTTGCAAAAAGGCAAAAGGAAAAATCCTTGACTTAACGTCTCATTTGCAATTTGAGAAAAGCCGATGTGAACACAAAATTCAATCCCAAACAGTCCTGATTTTTGCAAAGACTGACAAGCACTGGGACTTGGCTATTTAGCACAACCTGAGAACTGCCAGCTACCCCCAAAGGGCCACAAAAAGGATATTAATGGTTTCATCCAGGTCTTCCAGGTCCCACTCGATGCTGCGCAGGTTGTTCCTGAGCTCATTGGTGGTCCAGTCGATTTCCTCTCTTGTGGCGATGGAGGGATCCTGCAGGAGCTCTGTCCACCTCTGGAAGAGCCCCTGGGCAGTGTTCACAGCTTTCTGCACCTCCCTGCAGCCAGGAGAGTGAAGAGAAGCCCAAATTATCCCCAGCTGCCCTGCAGCAGTGACAGCCCCGTGCCCAGCTGAGCAGGGACGCCACAGCTCCATCCCAAACACCTTCCAACAACTTGGTGTTGATTTTGTAAAATAAGGATTTGCCCTGATCTCACTGCAGCATGAGGTTATTCATGAAGGGACCTATTTCTCCAGGGGAAGCTGCTGAGTGTCACCAGGGCAGAGGGTCTGAACGAGGCAGCTCTTTGGCAATCCACGCTTTGCATTCCTCTCTCAAAAATTTTCCTCTCAAGGCCCTTCACTACCCATGTAAGATACCCCAAGGTATCTTACAGATCCACACAGAGCTACAGGAACTGTCCCCACACCACAGCCAGGCAGACTGTTGAGTGCAGAACTGTTCATTTTAATTCAGCATTTAAAAAAAACACACAGGCCTGCTATGGTGGCTTAGGAAACATTTTTTTTTCTGCTGCTCTAAGCTCTTTTGGAGAGGAGTGCATTCACAGCAGGGGAAGGCAGTGCTGACAGCTCGCTTTGGGGCAAGCAGGTTTGTACACTTGGGTCACAGACTCTCAGGGTGGTCAGCTGCATTTACAAACTCTGGTTCTGAGCTGTGAGCTGCTCCCCCAGGGAATGGGAAGGGACAGGAGATCAGATTGTGGTGGTGCCACCATGAGCTTGCACAGATGTTTCACCCCAGTGAAGGAAAGCAGGAGAGGCCCAGAGCAGATGAACTGTTCTGTCCTGCCAGGACTGCAGCTCTCAAAGTTCCACCAGGGCCTGAAGCTCTCCAGGTGCTGTCTAAGCTGCAGTTTCTCAGCACTCTGGTGTGTGTCCCTCCCACTGCTCTGCCACTCTGAGTGCCCTACAGCCAGCAGCCTGCACTGAGCATCTGGAAAACTTCATTCCCTCCTCTACTTGCCAGCACAAGTTTTGGTTTTATTTGGTTGTTTGTGGTTTTTTTTTGTTGTTGTTGTTTTTCCACGCTTGTGGAAGTCCCCAGCAGCAAGAATGTGAAGCAGAGCTGGGTGTCCTCTGATGGGAGGAGCTACAGACACCAGGAAAGCAAACAAGGAGCAGTTTGGTGGCTCCAGCACCAGCAGCCCCTCCGACCTGCCAGGTAATAATTAACTGTGGGAGGGAGCGGCAGCACGTCCCTTTCCCCTCCCTGCCCTTCCCCACACGCTGCAGGAACATCTCTGGAAAGTTTGACAGGACAGACGTTTGCTCCCCACCCATGGCAACTCCTACACTTTCCTCTTAGTTCAGCCTGCTAAAGGGATTCACTTTCCCTGGCTGCATCAGTTTCCCTTCCCACACTTTTGTTCTTGCATGGCTCTCCTAAACACCCCACAGGAGCCCCTGGGCTGCTCCTCAGGGCTGTTTTGCTGTGACATAGGGCAGAAGAACAGTCCCCAGCACAAGCTGAAGGTGGCCCCAGGGCAGTGTTTAGTGATGGAGCTGCTTTCACAGAATCACAGAATCACTGGGGTTGGAAGGGATCTCTGTGGATCAGCCAGCCCAAAACCCCCTGTCAAGGCACTGCCACCTGGAGCAGGGGACACAGGGATACCTCAGGACAGGTTTGGAATGTCCCCAGCAAACTCCATGACCTCCCTAGGAAGCCTTTTCCAGTGCTCTGCCACCCTCACTGTAAAGTTCTTCCTCACCTTGAGGTGGAACTCCTTGTGTTTTAGTTTATGGCCTGTTGCTGCAAAGGGTCTGGCACCATCCTCCTGACACCCTTAGAGATAATTTATATGGACTGATGACATCTCCTCTGTCTTCTCCGGACTAAGCAGGCCCAGCTCCTCCAGTCTCCCCCCACCAGAGATGCTCCAGACCCCAAACCATATTTGTGGCCTCCACTGGACCCTCTCCAACAGAGCTCCTTCCACCCCATTAATGACAATTTTCCTTTGGCCACCTCTAGCTCGTATTTCCCTGCGTTCTCCGCAGGCTTCCTCTCAGGGCCATTGTTTGTCCCACAGCTGCTCCCTGCTCCTCTCCACCTTTCCCCATTGTCCCCCCTCCTTCCAGTCCCCGCTTTGCCCGCTGTCCCCAAGGCCGGGGGGCCCTCACAGAGCCCGGGGAGGCCCGGCCGCGGCCCGGCCCCTGCCCTGCTCCCCGCATCCCCGCTGGCCGGGCCGGGCACCCGCACAACCCGCGCTCAGCCCCTCAGCAGCACTGGGGGGCCCGGCCGCCATTTTCTCCCCCTCACACACAGACCCCCGCCCGCCGCTCGCCCCCCGCTCCGCGGGCCTCCCGAGCTGCGCGGCGGCCCTGCCCATCCCCTACGCGCCCGGATGACTCCCCGGCCCGTTGTGCGTCCCTCTCCCCGCGGCCCGGAGCGCTCGGAGCGCGGCGCTCACCCCTTCACCACGAAGAAGGGGTCCTCCATCGACATGGCGCTGCCGCCGCCGCACGCCACGGCCGCCGCCAGGCCACGCCCCCTCCATCGAGACACGCCCCCAAACGCCCTCGGCGGGCCACGCCCCCGCCGCGCGCCGGGAGGGGCGGGGCCGGGTGACGTCACCATCATGGCGGTGGTGGCGCTGTGTGGGTTGGGGGCGCTGAGGGGCTGTGGCCTTGTCCCGGCCGCTCTTCCCGCAGAGCCCCGGTGTCCCTCATGTGAAAAATGCGCATTTTATCATTGGCTTTTCGCATTAGTTCAAATTAATATTATATGTATTGCGGTAGAAAGTTATGCTGTATTAATTCTCTTAAGTACTATGTTAAATATAGTTTTAGGTTATAAGATAATGTTAAAATAGAAACTATGCTATGCAGGATACTTTTTTCCCTAAAGAAAGGACTAGCACCGAGATAGCAGCCACAGGACACCTGAATCTTTCAGAGAAAGAGAATTTACTGCTCCAATATCAGAAATGAACTTCTTCCTGCCTCGCTCAGTCATGAAGACACCATTAGAATTAAGAGGAAGAAGCTGACACTGACCAGACAGAATCCTGTGTTTGAATGGCATTTATGCTCCATGTATGAGATGTATGAATATGCAACAGGCTGTTGCTTTTAAGGGTTAATCCTCTGTTAACATGGGTCCTTTTTCGAGCCCAAATAGAGGTACCCAGCCTGTCTTTAACTCTTTGTTTCTATTGTCTCATATTGTCCTAATCCAAATTGTCCAAATTATTATTACTCTAATTGTATTACTATTTTCATAACCATTTTATTACTATTAAACTTTTAAAATTTTAAAAACAAGTGATTGACGTTTTACACACTCAGGTCAGGAGGGAGCACGGCGGTGCCACCTCCCCTCTCACCCCAGAGCATGTGGCACAGGGCTGTGCCCACATGGGGCTGGCACATCTCCAGTGGGGGACACTCCACAATCTCTCTGGGCACTCTATTCCATCCTAGAGAGAAAAATTTCTTCCTTCTGTTCAGCTGGAACTTGCTGTACATTGTTTCCCATCCTTTCCCTCCCATGTCCTGGAGCAGAATCTGCCTCCATCTCCTTAGCACCCTTTCCTTAGAGCCCAGAGCTGCCCACAGCACTCCCAATGTGCTCTCCTCAGGGAGAATAGGAATGCAGGATCCCTGATCCCAACACTCTGCTCTCAGCAGCCCTGTAAGGACAGAGGTGGTGACATCTTCCCAGGCTGTGCCTTCCCACCATGGTCCTTAGCACCACTGTCTGACCAGCAGCACCGTGCAGAAGGTGGTGTGTGTCCCATCCCTTGGGTTTTGTGGATTAAAGATATTATTTTTTTATTTTATAGAACTAAAAGCAGCCTCTCAGTGCAGAGAGGAACGTGTTCAAGCACCATCTCCTCACACATCTGCAGTTAGCACCAGTATTGTTCATTTTGGGAAGAAATTTTGTGCTTTATGCCAAACCCAAGAGAAATTTTGTGCTTCTTGCCTTCCCACAGTGGTCCACAGTCCTTAGCACCACTGTGCCACCAGCAGCACCATGCAGAAGGTGGTGTGTGTCCCATTCCTTGGGTTTTGTGGATTATTTTTTTATTTTAGAGAGCTGAAAGCGGCCTGCTCAGTGCAGAGAGGAAGTGAGCTAAGGCATTCAAGCCCCATCTCCTCACACACCTGCAGTTAGCAGCAGTGTTGTTCATGTCACACTCTTCTGTTGAGAAGAAATTTTGTCCTTTATTCCAAACCCAGAAGATAAAACTCCTTCCCTCTCACAGGATTTGCAGTGTTTAAAACCTCACATAAACCAGCCAGTCTCCTTCCCCTGGTTCCATGGAGCCAAACACAAAACCCTTGGCACTGTGGGGCTGTGTCCTGCATGAGTGGCTGTTCCCAGGCAGCGAGGGAGGAAGCAGGAGGGAGGCACAGGCAGCCTGCTCGGCTCCTGCTGCCCTTCCTGCCCTGCAGAGGCACAGCACTGCTTCCTTCCTCCTGCCCTGTGAGCAGTGAGAACAGCCCTCTGTGACTGGGATGTTGTCCATCCCTGAGTGAGGATCCTCATTCCCACCTCTCTGAAATCTCCGGGTTCTTTAGGAGCTGAGCACAGGCTCTGCTTCCTTCCTCATGGCTTGTCAGGGGCGAGGACAGCCCTTGGATGTTGTCCATCCCTGAGTGAGGATCCCTGGATCCCTCATTCCCACCTCTCTCAAATCTGGGCTCTTTAGGAGCTGAGCACAGGCCCTACTTCCTTCCTCCTGCCCTGTCAGGGGTGAGAGCAGCCCTGTGTGGTTTGGGTGTTGTCCATCCCTGAGTGAGGATCCTCATTCCCACCTCTCTGAAGTCTCTGGGTTCTTTAGGAGCTGAGCACATGCTCTGCTTCCTTCTTCCTGCCTCGTGAGCAGTGAGAACAGCCCTTGGATGTTGTCTATACTGAATGAGGATCCCTGGATCCCTCATTCCCATCTCTCTCAAATCTGGGTTCTTTAGGAGCTGGGCACAGGCCCTGCTTTCTTCCTCCTGCCTTGTGAGCAGTGAGAACAGCCCTATGTGGTTTGGGTGTTGTTCATCCATGAGTGAGGATCTCTCATTCCCACCTCTCTGAAATCTCTGGGCTCTTTAGGAGCTGAGCACAGGCTCTGCTTCCTTTCTCCTGTGTCTTGTGTGGGGTTAGAACAGCCCTGAATGTTGTCCATCTTTGCGTATTTGAGGATCCCTCATTCCCACTTCTGAAATCTCTGAGCTCTTTAGGAGCTGAGCACAGGCTCTGTTTCCTCCCTCCTGCCTTTTGTGTGGAGAGAACAGCCTTTGGATGTTGTCCATACCTGAGTGAGGATCCCTGGATCCCTCATTCCCACCTCTCTGAAATCTCTAGGTTCTTTAGGAGCTGAGCACAGGCCCTGATTCCTTGCTCCTGCCTTGTGCGGGGTGAGAACAGCCCTGTGTGGTTTGGATGTTGTCCATCCCTGGGTGTTTGAGGATCCCTCATTCCCATCTTTCTCAAATCTGGGCTTCCTTGCTCCTGCCCTGTGAGCAGTGAGAACAGCCCTGTGTGGTTTGGGTGTTGTTCATCCATGAGTGAGGATCTCTCATTCCCACCTCTCTGAAATCTCTGGGCTCTTTAGGAGCTGAGCACAGGCCCTGCTTCCTTCCTCCTGCCCTGTGAGGGCTGAGAACAGCCCTTGGATGTTGTCCATCCCTGGATGAGGATTCCCCATTCCCACCTCTCTCAAATCTGGGCTCTTTAGGAGCTGAGCACAGCTCCTGGGCTTGCAGCAGCTGGCAGGAGGGGGATGATGCCTGCAGAGCTCTGGGAGATGTCCCCATCCATGTACACACAGCAGAGCCAAGTCCCTGCCTTACTCCCACCTTAATTGGGTTGGTTTTGCAGAGGCTTGGCCAGAGTTTTTTACAGAAAGGGTGATAAAGTTCTGGAATGGCTGTCCAGGGAGGTGGTGGAGTCCCCATCCCTGGGTGTGTTTAACAAAGCCTGGATGTGGCACTGGGTGCCAGGGTTTAGCTGAGGGGTTGGGGCTGGGTTGTGTGAAAAACACCAGTCACTTGTTTTTGTTTTTGTTTTTTTTTTTTAATTTTAGAAGTTTAATGATAATAAAATGGTTATAAAAATAACAATGTAATTAGAGTAATAATAATATGGACAATTTTGATTAGGAAAATATGAGACAATAAAAACAAAGAGTTACAGACTGTCCAGGTACCTTTTTCTGGGCAAAATAAGCCCGAAAAAGCACCCACGTTAACAGAGGATTAACCCTTAAAAGCAACAGCCTGTTGCATATTCATACACCTTATACATGATGCATAAATTCCATTCAAACACAGGATTCTGTCTGGGCAGTGTCAGCTTCTTCCTCTGTATCCTGACAGTGTCTTCATGGCTGAGCAAGGTGGGAAGAACTCCATAATGGAGCAATAAATTCTCTTTCTCTGAAAGATTTCGGTGTCCTGTGGCTGCTATCTCAGTGTGAGTCCTCTCTTAAAAAAAGTATTTTACATAGCATAGTTTCTATTTCAACTTTATGTTATAACCTAAAACTATATTTAACACTCTACTTAAGAGAATTAATACAGCATCACTTTCTAACATAACACATATAATATTCACTTTAATATTTGTGAAAAACGCCAATCATAAAATACACATTTTTCACAGTTGGGGGATTAGTTACCAATATCCAATTGTGGCAGGTCCAGGTGGCATCCACGTGAATCACTGATTTTTTCTGGGGGAAAAAACCCAACCCCAGACAACTTTCCTCCTCTCCCTCCTGAGCTCCACATGGGTGCCTTCTCATTCTCTGAAAGATTCAGGTGTCCTGTGGCTGCTATCTCAGTGATGATCTCGATGATCTTGAAGGTCTCTTCCAACCTGATCATTCTGAATTCTGTGACTCCCCCATATTTCAAGCAAAGAGCACATCCTGGCCTGCACTTCCCAAGGGTGGCAGTGGCCCCAAGCCCCGTTTGCAGAGGCGCCTGCTCAGCATGGGAACAGCAGAGGCGCTTTTGCAACCCCAGCAGAGCTTTCCTCACGCTCACCCGGGGCTGTGGCACACGTTGAACCGGTTTCTGCAGCTCTTGGGCTGAGAATTCCACCTCCTGCTCTGGCCAGCCCCACACCAGGGGTGGTGCAACAGGTGGCAGCTTTGGGGTTGGTGTTTGCCGGCCTTTCCTTGCTGAATTTGGGATGCCTTTCCCACGCTGGGAGCGTTTGGGGCGTCCCTGCCAAAGGTGTGCTTAGCATGGGAGGTTCCCTCCAGGAACAAGCAGAGTCCCAAGGAGTTGCTGGTCCAGTTTGTCTATCCCTGTCCCACAAAGACCTTGTGCTTCCCCAAAGCCTCACGATCCTCCTGTGACTTCCACCTGTGCCCAAAACCTTCGCTGCGCTGGGAATGGAAAAGGGAAAATGTCCTGTTGCCTCTTAGAATTGCTAGGAGTAATTACCTAGAATTTTACTTTCAGAATCTTTCAATAAATTTTGTGAACACTTTATTCACCAATTTGAAAATATGTTGGTTTTTTTTTTTACAGAATT